GAGAAAAATGGCTCTCTCTATCTGATACTGCCTCGAGTATTTTGTTGCCTCAAATATTTAACTGCTGAGCATCCCTTGCTGATGCACTGATCAATGTACAAAATTTAAAATAGTATTTTTTAAAAATGTTATTAAATTGATAGAAATCTTGTCCACCGATTTTTGTTTCTTTTCCAGGCTCACTCTGTTTTACAGAACTATTTCAGAAATCTTAAAATGAATTTTGTTTTGAGCATAGTTCCCTTTTTCCTCACTTTCTCACAAACAGGTGTAAAGTAAAATTCTTTCTTTTTCATACCTCCTTATGGAGATGGTGATAAATCTATCACATGGAACTGAAGCCAGATTTTCTAATTCTAAATCACACTACTGGGTTTTCCTCTAACAGTAACAGCATCTTTTCCCTTTTATAGTAAAATATATAAGAATGAAACATAATGAATTTATTCAATTTCCAAGAATTTAACTCAATTTCAGCCTGTAGTTTCTACCATACTGAAATCTCTCCCTGTCAGTTGCTAAAGCATGAGGTGTGGGAAGAATTTAAGAACTGAAAAAGAACAAAGTAGGGAAAAGATTTAAAACCCAAAAGTATGATGTACGGAATGACACAGTGACTGCATCATTATTTCCTTTATCTGGTTAGACCTGTTCATTCTTCTAGAGATTTGGTATATATGAAATATAGCAAAAAAATAAAACTTCAATAAAGTTTTATGAAGTATGGAAGTTTCTCCTAAAAATTAATCTTTTGCATTTTACCTTGAAAAAAAGATTTTGATTAGAAGTACAAATTTTGTAAAGTTGCTTTGGTCCTAGCTTTCAAGAGTTTCAAGAAAACTTCTTAAAAATGATCCACTTCTGGTTCCCAGTCCATAAGATGGAAGTTAGAGTGAATTTCCAGCTTCATGCTTGTGGTAGGATTGGCCACAGCCAGCAATTAGGCATGTGCCAGGTGCTCGCTCACCTCCCATCAGCAGAAGAAGGAATTGGTGAATCAAAAGCAAGACAAATCTTGTAGGTCAACTATGACTTTTTAGTAAGTAAAGGAAAATAAAGAGGAAAACAAATACCAACAAAAGTGATGCAAAAGAAATCACTCACCACCTCCCACCAGAATAATGTCCAGCCAGTCCTTGAACAATGGCTTCATTGGAAAAACTCCCTCCTCGTTTTATTGCCAGACATGATGTTATGTGGCATGGAATATCCCTATGGTCATCTCAGGCCAGCTGTCTTGCCTGTGTCCCTCTCCTGTCCTTTACCCAATCTCAGCCTACTCATCAACATAGGGTAGAACGAGAGAAAGAGAAAGCCTTGATACTTCACAGCAGTACCTAAAACACTTTGGTGTTCAGTCAGAATCTTAAGTTAGAAGCTTAAGATGGAAACCTGGAAAGCTAAAATCATCCCAGACAAACCCAGTAAAATGCGTAAGACAGTGCAAAAACAGTGATTCTCAACTCCTGGTAGTATTTTCCTGCATTTTTAGTGCAATGCACTAAAAACAAAATACAAATTACAAAAAGCTCTGAATACAACTACAGTACAGAACAGCTAGGTTTTATCTATTGACTAAAATATTTCGTTTGGTAACTCTCACGTACAGTAGTATGAACAAGTGCTCCCATCAAAGGCATTGAGTACTCTTCTTTGAGGAGCAGAAAGAAAACAATTACTCATGCCATTAAGATAAAGCCACACTGGTGGATCATGACAGTGAAGGATGATCACAACGTTCACTGTGAAGTGGCAGCTCTAATGTAACCCAGTCTTTCAGTAAGGTCACTCTGGAACCTAATTATATCTTCACCGGTTATTTGAAAGTATTTCATTTGCAGGTAAAATTTTTCTCTAACCTGATCAATAGGTTTTATTTGCCTCAGTAGAGCCAGAATTTTAAAACAAGATTTGGTAAAATCCTCCATGGCCTAACTCCAACATTTCTCTTTTTCTCCTTAATTTGCATGTATTATTTGTTAGCACTCAAGTAAGCATTGTATTGCATTCCTCCCTCAAAAGGATGCTGTCCAACCAGCAGAGCTCCAAACAGCAAAGATGTTTAGAAAATAAATGGGGAATAAAACACAGAAAAGATCCAAGATCTTGTATCTTGGAAACAAACCAGGAAACACGTAAAAACAGAATCATAGGACAGTTGCAACAGAACACTGATAATATATCAGTATAAACCAACATTATATTTGTGGATTTTAAGTCTTTTCCTTTAATTTCCTCCAGTTTCCTTCACACAATTTTTGCTTTGTACGTTTAGAGCAAAGAGAATAAAAAACCAAACAAATAAACAAAAAGACAATTTTAGCTAAAGCCTAGTCTGGAATGTACAAAAATTTTAAAGCTGTTTACAGGCAGAAGAAATATTTCTTTCTTAAAAATCTTTCGAATTATCTATGTGTACTGTAACAACAAGTCAAGCTGGAGAAAAGTAAAGATGTACGAGAATGCTGCCCACCTAAAACTGAACTTAGGGAAGGAGGAATCGAGGATGTTGCTGTGACCAGCAATAAGCGCTGGACATACATTCTCTTGGAGTGATATTTACTCTATCCACAGGTTTTTGGGGTTCTTTTTATTAAACCAATCTGTAAGAAAATTAAAAAAAAAACAACAAAAAAAAACCTGCCTAAATCAAGAACTTTAACAATATCTGAATTACATATTCTTTGTAATTCTAAATAGAATTTGTTTAAAAAGATTAAGGTGATTTATTTTATTTTTGTACTTGTAAACAGAAGCTTGTTTTCAAACTTCAAAATAAAATTTAACCAGGCTGTTTTAAGATGGCTGTTTCATTGGGGGTTTTCTTAAAGATCATTTATGGTCTGTATGCAGTATGGCATGCATTGGAAAAAAAGTCAAGACAGTTCTTTCACATGTTTCTTTATCAGACACCCCTTTTCTCTTCCTTAAAAATAATTACAATATCTTGTCTACTGGGAAAAGCACTAATTGGACATATCTGCCATCACTGTACCATGTCACAAAGGGAAAAATCCTCACTAATTTTTCCTGAAACGCCAGTCCGAGGTAGATGGCATTAGATGATTCACAGAAGACAACCATCTCTGTAAGTCAATTACTTTTATTTTGTTCAGACTTCGCTGGTTTATTTTGAATTGGTCATGGGGTAGTTAATGAATGTCACTCACTTCATTAAAAACCAACATTCTCATCTGTTGTAAATAGTAAGCAAAGTAAATATAGAGAGCAAGAAAGCGCTGACCACAGTGCCCTCAGCTTATTATGACCAAGCACCATAAAATCAAGCTTTAAAATGGAATATAGACTTTGCGAGGAATTATACCAAGCTATGCTTTCTCAAAAATAAGGAAAAACTTGCATTCATATAACAAACTATTATACACCCTTGACCCTCATTTGCCAGGTGACTCTATTAAATATCAAGTCAGCCAGTAGAAGTGGTCATCACTGCTTTCAGACAGAGGACTGAGATAGAAATACTCAGGACGACTGTTAATCTGGGAATCACACGCAGGCTCAGACATCAAACTACATGAGAAGCCACGTGCATATCCAGAAACAGCTTTAACAAGGTTTGGAGTTGAGGGAAAAGAGCTTAAGCTTACTAGGTAAATATCTTCTAGAGAAGCCAGCAGCACTGTATAGTCATTTCAAGAACTCAACTGTTCTGTTTATACACCTACTTTAAGGTATTTAAATTCCTCTTCCAGCCATCTATAAACTCCCTCCCAAACAAGACGGTTGAAGATTTGAGAAAATTAAGACCCAATAACAAAACCAGAAGTTGTATGTAAGACAGAGATGCAACGCATGCGTACGTGTACATGAAAAGAGAATAAAACCCCTAGGGTTTATTGTGCATGGAAGATAATTCTACAACACGTCACTTCAACAACTAAACTGGTTTATGAATTTCCAGTTCTCTTATCTGGAATCTCTTATAATCTCATTTTTATCTCTGCAAGCAATTCTGGACCCTCACTTCTGCAAAAATGATTTAGATCACACTATTCACTATAAGCAAGGTTGGTTATAATCACAATCTCCCCTTCCCCCTCCTTCCCTCCCCCTCAAAAAACAAAACCATACATTTTTTAAGGGTTTTAAAATTCACCTCCACTTGACGACCTTGGATGAGGGAAACTTTCACACATATGATTTTTACACATGCTTTTTGATGTAAAATCAAAACATGCCTCCCTGTGCAAATCAAAACATAGTTCCCTATTCTAATTTAACCCTACTGAAGAGAGAGAACTAAGAAAAGTTTGTTAGTTAGCATGCAGTCTTTTACTTTGCTGCCTAGAGGGGGCTACCTTGTTAGAAACATCACACTCCATGCATCATACTTGGTTCTTGGTGAATGATGTGGTAGTGACTATATATTGTGTACACTTAACATCCCTGATTCCACTGAATGTGAGATCTGGGTATCTATCCACTGCGTCACTTAGGGAGGGCACACAGGTAAAACACACGGCAGGGAAGCAGCGGTTCCCTGCTGATCAGACAGCTCCTGGCGTCCTCATGTCTAAGCTACCTAAATCTGCCAAAGACTGGCCACTAAAGTGCTAGATAATAGACTGTCAACATCAAATGACTGGCAAAATATTTCTAATTCTTATGACTAATGTAAATTATTTCTCAAAGCAAGGGACACTTCAGGGAAAAAAATTCTCAGTTACATTTGTGTAAGCGAGGAGTGAAAGCATTGTTTTCCTTTGCCAAAGATGGTACACTACCTAACTCTGGGCAGAACAACAGAATTATCCTCTATTTTTAAGTGCAATAATAGTTGGAAATTGTTTCTCTTTACCCACTACATAAACTCTGTGGAAACTTTAGGTTTTCTCTTGGCACTGAAAACTACCTTCTGACTAGTGTTTTTTGGCAAAATAATTTGATACACAGGAAGTACTCATAATGGATTTTTAACATGCAGAACAGTATCAGTATAAAAAAGTACTATTATTAAGTAGGAATAAAATTGCTCTTACCTCTTTGCTCAGGGTCTCCGTAATTTCTCAAATGTTTGTCTTTGAAATCTAAAATAGAGAGAACAATTTAATAAAACAACTACCAAGTATGCTTAGCATTTAGTAAGTGAAATACACCATAATTTTAAAAGAGAAGGAAAAGAAAAGCCAACAAAAAATAAACAAAAGCTTCTACAGCATTTTTACTGTTGATTTCTATATTGCTAATTTCTACAAATGAGCTGGAAAAGAAAAATTCAAGGAATTTGCTTTAGAGAACACAATTTTCTGGAAGGACTGGCATTAAAATACTAAACCACATACAACATTAATGGTCCTAAGAAAGTGTTCCTAACACTAATATTTAATTATTTATGCTTAACATCTCAGGTCTTACAGATGGTTAGCCTACAAAGAATAAATCTTATTCAAGGTCATATTAAATCAGAAATAAGCAAAAATCTTCTATCAGTCAACATGAACCTCACATGAAAGCGATGTTAACAGCAGTTTCATGCTATCGTGAGAAAGAGCCCATCTTTCATCACATAACCACCAACATAAATCACCAAGTTTAGTAAAACAGAGACAGCACAAGTAGGGCACACAGCTTTTACCCTAATTTTGTTACCTTGAAGATTCCGGAATGAAACTAAATCTCTACCTTCTCATACATTACAACAGAATAGGTGAGTTAACTGCTTCTTGAGGTTCTCTTCTACAATTACTTCCTTTTCATCTTCTTTGATAGCTTTATTTTGTTCTAAATTAGGCTAAAGCATTCTGAAGTAGAACTTATAGAGTGTGCAGAACGTTCTATTTTAGACTAGGTACTGTGGAAATAGGAACAAGTGTCAACATTCTTACTTCCACTGGCTTTTTTTGCAGGCACTGCTCTGTCTTTGCACTAAGTGCTTGCATGACACAATGTATTGGCTCTACATGCCATGACTACTGGTCTACAAGATTAGCGTCCATTTTCTGGATTCTTTCCATATATATTAGTTTCAACTTCTATGAACCTTAATAAGAGGTTAATTCAATTTTGTGCCTTTATAGTAATGTCACTTCCTTTGTAGTTGAGATATCACAAAACTCAGAAAATGCTTAAATTTAATTACAGCTTGTGCAGCAACAGAAGTTTGATCCTGCTACGCTTAGTGAGTATAAACTAAGATAAATTTCTCACCTTGTAGCAAAAAAAAAAAAAAATAAAAGGAAGGACGTGAGAGGAAGAAAAAAAAAAAAAAAAGGAGAGAAAAAAGATTGGAAAGTGGGAGGAAAAAAGAAAATGGGAAAATGAAACAGAAAAAGAAAGTGTTTTTTATTTCAGGTTTCTGATGTAAGTAGGGAAATTACCTCAGGCACTATCATATATGTTGAGTTCAGAGACAAAGCAGCAGTTCTCATGATTCCCCATCCAGTTCAGGATTAAACCAAAACCAAAACTGAATTAAAAAAACAAAAAACATAACAAAGGAAAAATTTACATGAGCAGGCCATCTACAGCCAACCTACAGCATGATACGCAGTTCAGAATTTAAGTATATCTCACTAACCAGTAAGAGAACAATAATCACCATGTGTTACCAAACTCTTTTGCCTAAATGCTAATAAGAGCAGCCACCAGAGCAGAAAGCCTCCACTATCTAACATTGCTTCCGATTGGCCTTGAGAATACAGTATGTTGCATAGGCCATTTGGATCAAAGAACTTCATCAATAGGCAAAAGGAAGTAGATTCCTACCTAGCTTAATTTATCCCAAAGTAACACTCCCAGAAAAACATCCATAATGAGTAGCTTCATTTGGGAAATTTAATTAGACAAACAAGAAATTAAATGAAGACGTAAATAAAACAGATGGCTAAATTAATAGGGCGGGTGCAAAGGATCAGATAGGAAGAAAAAAATAAGGAAAAATACCTTTTTTTGTTTGCTTTTTAATGAAAGGCAGCAAGAAAGAAGAACACGTTTCAGAGGTGCGTACATTCCAGTAGAAAAAAAAAAATATCTATTCTGCATATGCTGTCCTTTGAAATTGTACTTTGAAGCAAAAGCAAAGTAAAATATGACATGGAAAGAACAAGGTGGATTTGTAGCATGTTTGTCATCTTTTTATCACCTCTTTTTTTCTGTTTCCTTTTAGAGATATCTTCAAAAACAACCAAAACCACTGTTTTTTTGTGAACTGGCTCTTGTGTGGACTGAAATCATGTTCCTTGCTACTTTAACTCCCCACATCCACTAACCACAAACTAAATCAAACATGACAGCCACCTCCATTTCTCATGTCTTCAGGATATTTCCTGCCCCCAGATGGCATTCAACAGTGTATAAAGGTAAGCAAGAAAGCACATTTTGAATAGGACTTCAGTGTTTTTAGCCCTCCAGGAAAAATAAGGATTAGATACCTAAAAAATAGAATATCTCCCTAGAGTTGCCTTTATATTTCTTTAACTTGATATATTTACTGGCTGGGTACTGAAAACAAAGTTAATTTATCTTCTAGGTCTAAGTTGACAACCTAAAAAGGTGAAAGGTGGAGTGGGGATTCAAAGGAATTACAAGAATACTCTTAGGAGAATGACTCACATTATAAACTGAATGGAGGCTGAGCAAAGAACTTTGCAATGAGCAAAAGCCAGGTCCCATAAACTATTCACACTCTCAGCTCTTATTAGCTTCAGTAAGATCAGGGAGGGCCTCAGTCTCTGGAAGACCGCATCAGCTGTGTCTAGGATCTAGATAACAAAGTAGGACTAGAACAAAAGTGAAATCGTTACAGAATGGTATATTCTTCATGATAGCTGTCACATTTAAAGAATGACAACTACAACAAAAACATAATTATAATAATTTAAAAGTGTACACCAAAAATGACTACTGCCTATGCGCCTCCACGTATCCTTTGGAAAAAAAAAATAGAGGAAGAAGAAAATAAAAAGCTGTTGGTAATTCAAAGATTTCTGAGAAGCTCTCAGAAGCCTTCAGGTTCTTCTTCAAAGCACAAGGATCCTTCCTGTTCTAGTTCACTTAATGTAATTCTCCAGTTGAACCATACCTATCTGTTATCTCTGAAAGAACAGCTATGTTAAATCCTCAGTACTACTGTGCCCTATGTCAAATAGGCCACCAAGCCACATGAGAAGTCTCTCATTCAGTACTGCTGCTTTTATATTATTTTGAGAGCCTGTCATGTTTTGCACTCCTGAGGAAATACAGTTATTGAAAAAAACTCTCATATTTGATCCCTGAAACTAATATCTGAGTACTACAGCTCTAAAGATATAAGATTTTCTATCTTATAATAGATGTACTAGAGCAGCCATTATTAGCAGATTCAGTTATTAACAAGTTTTCTAAATTGTGTGCGTTCGTTCCCTAGAGATATGTGAGAATAACTGCATTGCCATTTCTCATAGAATTCTGTTCATTAAAAGAAAGCGTAACTGGCAGGAAAAACAAGTCACAGATTTCAGGTTGTTTGTTTGTTTGTTTGTTTTTGTTTTTGTTTGTTGTTGTTGTTGTTTTTGAGAAACACTGTTTTGTTAAATATCCTAATTTTTTATGGTCCATCACTCTGTTGATTCATTTGTAAATAAACACAGCAAAGACTTAAAAGCATATTCAGCTTAAAGTTGTACGTTATTGCAATGACACTAAATAGCATTTAAAAGGTAATGGAAAAAAATGGGCAGCTTTGATGTTGTTGTAACGGGAATAAATTAGAATATTTCCCATGTTCCTGAATGGATGAAGTATCTGCAGGAAATCCACCCTTACTGCACTGCTCAAACACCTCAATAATATATATAGGTCAGGAGGACTGATGTCAGTGTTCTGGATAAGAAACATTGTGTGTGTTACGTACAAACAAAGTGGCCCTATTGCTGCAATAGAGTAGCTCACAGATCACCTGCTTCCTTAGGACATACTTGCTATGAAGGGATTTTTACTTGGTTTGCTTTACATATTTTCACTTAAAAACCGAGAACAAAACACCTCAGCTAAGCCTATCTGCTAACACAGAATCATAGAAGCTTAGAGCTGGAAGGAACCTTCTAAGGTCACTTAGTCCATCTCCCGTGCAGTGAACTGGGACTCCTACAGCTTGCAGGTATCAGGTATCACACTATCAGGTGCCCAGAGCCCCATCCAGCCTGACCTTGAATGCCCTCAGGGATGGGGGATCCACCACATCACTAGGCAACCCGTGCCAGTGCCTCACCATCCTCCCTGCAAAAGACTGTTTCCTCATATACAACCTAAATCTGCCCTCTTTAAGCTTGAAACCATTTCCCCTTATCCTGTCAACAAAAGATCCTGCTTAAAGAAAGAAAAAAAAAAAAAGTTGTAGCTCCCACTTAGATAATCAATCAAGAAATCTCTTGTCAAAGTAGTTTATATCATAGAACCAATTAGATTGGAAAAGACTGTCAAGACCAAATTCAACCATCAACTGCTAAATAAAATACTGGAAGCCTAAATCCCTGCCTTTCTGCACATGAACGTGCATCTGAAGTGCATGCCTGTTTACTGCCCTCATTACACATCTATCATTCCTAAATCATCAACGCAATGCTATTGGGTGACAAAACTTCCTTGCTGAACACAGCCTTTGTCCTCCAGAGGCTCAACAGCAATGTACTACTTGAGCAGAGGACATCTGTTCTTCTGTCTGCATGTAATGCTGGAGGTAATGTAACCAACTGCAAAATTCTAAGAGCTGCATACTAGCCCAGCAATGCTGCAGATAAACGCAAGGCTACTGTCCTTGAAGTTATACTCCATACTAGTCAAAGAAAATGCAAGATGACTGAATTTCATTTAGCATTTGTATTATCTCTGCTGTATAATTTGGGAAATTAAAGTATCCATGCTGTGCTTCTAGTTTGGCAGGGAAGATCATGAATAAGAGATCTCTCCATGGATGAGTCTTTAGAAAGACACTAATGCCCATACAGAAAGGAGGAGTGAAAGAGAGATGCTGAGAGGCTGCATATCCCATATATGTTGTGTCAATATTCTTCTTACAAGCATTCACGTCATTCTGTTTCAGATGTTCAGT